GTATTTATACATCCAACATTGATGTATTTAGTTATGATATTTCTTTTGTAAGTACGGTTGGATATTGTCTTATCGTTTGTGGTTTGAATTCTGTATTTTCGGTACAATTTATATATGTCTTATTTGTCAGTATAGTCAGTTAATTTCCATTTTCCATGGATAAAGTATTATGTTAGTCCAAATAATTATGACGTCGTCACAGCATCAATTTGAAATAGCCTTTCAAGACCGTCATAATCATGATAATTATTTGGACTAGTATTGTGAAAATAATTGTGAATTTTTGGATCTCGTTCCATATAATTGTATGAATTTCAAGATTACCTGTGATAATATATACGTCACTTTTTTGTGGCGTTGATCCATTCATGTGACGCACAGTTTGTGGTGTCCTGTGCTTCATGGTAGATGTCTGTTGTTATTCTGCGGTTTACACATGTAATATACTATTATATTATTTATTTATGTATTTCTCTGTGCTGAGTGTTCTTGCGTTTGTTTGTACTGTTTTTCTGTCATGTAGTGTTGTCATTTTAGCGTCATTTTTTAACATTGCCATATAAGCGGGAGGTTTGGCTAGCCAAAAAACTAGGTTCAACCAGCATTTTTTCTTAAAATGTCCTATACCAAGTCAAGAATATGCCGTTGTTATCAAATAACTCGTTTCTATGTATGTTGGTGTTTGTTTTTGTTGCAGTTCAGTGTTTCTGTTGTTCCGTTGTTTTCCTTTATTAGTTGTGTTTCCCTCGGTTTTAGTTTGTAACCCGGATTTGTTTTCTCTTAATCGATTTATGACTTTTGAACAGCGGTATACTACTGTTGCCTTTATTTGATGCATTGCATTCAGTGTTGATTTTCTTGCTAGTTCAAGATCTTGATTTTACGCCTCTATGTTTAGATATTTTATTATAAACTGCCAAATGGGTCAAGTTTATTCATGTTCCCCAAGTTACTTTCACATCTCAAGATTATCAAGGACGAAGTGGTTAATTGGTAGGAATGTTTTCTCAAGATAGACAAACGCTATCCTTGGTTTTTCTTTACATCAAAATTTATTCCTTTTTTTATACGCCCGTCAAATTTTGACGGGACATATTATGTTATCCTGGCCCCTGACGTCTTTAACATACATTAATATTAAGTAGTAATTCCAGATTTAGTTATGGATTATTCACCTGCTTAACCTTAAATTGAATTAGATGGCGAATACATCTGTATTTATTCACATTCTTTTCATTACCGTTTGATTTGATATAAATTCGAGTTTAAGTTTGAAAACAATTGTGGAGCTTATTATACAGACTATGCCATGTTATTTTATGATTAGATTCAAGTCAATCATTTCATGCACTATTTTTTAAAAACGTCTAATCCAGTTAATTAATTTTCTACATTTATTAGTCTGCATAAAATCCGTCCCTTGACAGTGACAGTAATTGATTTGGCTGGAAAATTGGATCTAGGTGTGAAATTGATAACTAAAATCCATTTTCCAGAATCATGTGTGGTGGATCTAAAATCGGAATGATACTTGTTTATTTTACTCATTATTCTTACATTTCATTTGATTTACATTAGCTGGTGCAGTCCACCTCTTTAAACGGGTGTGAAGGAAGAAAACATGATAACACATTGCTTAAAGTGATGTTGTGCCGTTTTCAATTGATTAAAACAAAATAATATAAATTGGTATTTGCTGCTTTTACGTTAAACACGTATCATATTGAGTAGGACCCAAGACTTGTTGTATTAGAAAGTGTCACGATGTGAACAATTTTGTTCGTCGTGCAAGTCTCCTAGAAAGCAGGGTTCAAATTCATTTCAATTTGAACAGCTATAGATTTATGAGATATGAACATCGGTAAATTTATGTTTCATTAATTTATTTGATCGACCGATTGCTATCTAGATGTAAAGCTTCCATCTATCGATTTTTCTATTTATTTTTGTTTTGTTTTTAAGAGGTGAGCTGAGATATAAATAAAAATGAGTCTGATTCTTTAATACTGCGTAGAAGTGTTATTTTTCAAAATTAATATCAAAACAAACCTTATACAGAAGTGAATAAAGGTTTTGTAAGTTTGGCGACATGAAAGAAAGTGATGTTACACAATTGTTAAAATGTTCTATGATTCTATTCTATTTAAACTTATAAAATCTACAATCGATTCTTATATAAACAGTAAAACTAAAGGGGGAAAGGTATTTACGACATACCTATCTGCTTTTTAGTGTATAGATAATGATGCCTGCGTCAAAGCGGTTACGATTTTTATACCATGCGAAAGTTTTTAACAGTATCACTTGGTATTTATTTTAGACAATCAGCTAACGCAGACTATAAATTGAAAAATTTAATGTGAATAGAATAACTGTTGTATTATCAAGGACATATGAAATATTACCATTTAATGCACAGTAAATGAAGATTGATGGATTTGTATACGTTTTTAAATCTAATTATTGCAATATTTATATTGATGTTAGCTACATAAGATTCTTTTTCTTCAAATATCTCATTCCTAGGCAAAATATATCCATCATTGATAGAATTTTACTTTAAAAAAAACCAACCAAAAGTGATATCAAAGTGTTTTTTGTGGATTTTTTTTAATAGAATAAAGTATATCATTAATTTGGTATTCTATTAAAGTGAAAATTTAAGTTAACAGCTTCTACAATATGTTCTGCAATGCTACGAAACAATATATATATATTGCATTCACTTTTTTACTCCTAGTTTTGCTCTGATTTTTTTCCCAAGCTTTTTATTTTCGTTGTTTCAATTCATTTTCGAGACGATCTTGTCTAAAGAAAGATAACCTCAACGGTGTTCTACTGATAGCTACAATGAAGAATCTGAACAGTATAATGTGTCTATTATGTGTTTTCTTCAACAATGATGTTGTCTGTCCTGAATTGTTTTGATTGCTATTGGTTACTTATTATACCTCCCCTGTTGTGTGGAGGGTATGTATCAATTCATTTAGCTTTGCCTGAGTTCTTTGACGTGCCCGATTCGTCTATTGTTTTTAGATTCAAGCTTTTTCCTTTTTATCAAAATGGCTGATGTTAAGATTTTGTAAAGTTAATACGGTAAAATGACTAGATATCAATTTATCATTTCTATATATTTACATTTTTATCTCGCCTTGACGGAGTCAAAAAGCGAGACAAAGGTATGCTGTCGGTGGCGTCGGCGTCAACTATGTATTAGTTTGTGATTATGTCTAGTTTATGGTGAACCACTAGTGGTAGGTCAATGATATTTGGTATGCAGTTGTATTAGCATTGTCACATCTCATTACAATGGGGGTTATTTGGCCTTGCCCTTCAGTCATGCTCCATTGAGTTTGAAACTAAGCTTAGTTTACATGTATTAGTTTGTGATTAGGTCAGTTTATAGGAAACCACTAGTGGTAGGTCAATGAAATTTGGTATGCAGTTGTATAGGCATCGGCATATCTTATTTCAATGGAGATTATTTGGCCCCTCCCCCTCAGTCATGGTCTGTTGACCTTGAAACTTTTGCTCAATTTTCATGTATTAGTTTGTGATTAGGTCAGTATAAGGGGAACCATTAGTGGTAGGTCAATGATAATTGGTATGCAGTTGCATAAGCATTAGCACATCTCATTTCCGTGGAGAATATTTGGTCTTTCCCCCTCAGTCATGGTCTATTGACTTTGAAACTTTTCATGTATTAGTTTGTGATTAGGTCAGTTTAAGTTGAACCACTAATGTTAAGTCGATGACATTTGGTATGCAAATTTATTGGCATTTGCAAGTTTCATTTCCATGGAGATTATATAACCCCACCCCCTCATTATGGTTCATTGACTTTGAAACTTTTAATTTTAGTTAAAGTTTGTGTTTAGCTTTGTTTAAAGGGAACGACTTATGATAAGTCAATGGTATTTGGTATGCAGTTGTATTAGCATTGGCACATCTCATTTCGATGAAGATTGTTTAGCCCTGTACCTTCAGTCATGGTTCATTGACTTTGAATATTTGCACAACTTACATGTAAAGTATTGCTATTTTAATTTCAACATTTGCATTATCAAAATAACAAATAGGCGAGACATATCTCTGTGTTAACAGTTTGTTTAACTTTTATCAAATATTAGTGTGTCCTAGTCCTTTCTGTTGAAGGTTATAACAGGGGCGGATCCGGTTAGTCCGTTCTTTGCCTGCGGGAAATAAAACCACGAACAAAAAGATATTACAGGGAGAATTTGAAAAGGCAATAGTAGATGTGCTGGTTATATATATATATTTTTATAAATCTCGTACTGTTTTGTTTTATAATGAGAACTGTGATGACAGCATTTCTTCTAAAAAAAACAAATTAGAAGTAGACAAAAATTCACCAGGGATACAACTAGGCACGAATGCCGGGCATTTCGTCTACATATAAGACATAATATAATGATATATTAATTATAATGTAATACGCGATTATTTTGGTAGCCTAGTATATTTTGACGGTCACCCATGAGTTCCGAAAGCCAACACATAGATTCATTTATTCGACGAGCGATTTGTATTGGAAAATAGAGAATTATAAAATTATGTAATTAATTTTCTGATCTTTATCATAAAAATTAATTTGATTTTGTGTTACTACATAGTACTGCAATACATTTATGAATGCCCTATTATGAGACGGCAATGGTAAAGCTATGCTAAATTATGACATTGGAATCCTTCTTCTGCGTTTGTTTATTCCTTTAATAAAATGAAATTTATATGAAATATTCAGTTTATCAGTCAGAAAAAAATAGCGAGCTTTGATCTTTTGAAATTAAAAAAAACGGACAATATACATTACATCGTTGTCATGTTTATACCATGTGCTGTGTCATACGTTGACTAAAAAATGAATACACAAAATAGGGTTAGCCGTTAGCATTTCGTCTTCCTGACACTCGTTGTCGTTGTTCTAGCTGTTCTATTGCACGAAATAGTTTATTTTGAAATTTTCTTTTTACATGCAGTGTCCTCCAGTTGCTGTAGCAATTGCTAAAGCCAAGAAAGATGGAATTAACTTTGCAGGGAAAACACACATCGACTTCCCAGTTGTTGAGATTAGTGACTGTATGGGTTGGGACTCAGGTCCTGTTAAAAGGGAACTTAAAATGCTTATGTGGAACTTGACAGGTATTGTTTCCTCTTATACAAGACAACAGTTATGAGACATAATTGTGACAAATGTAATTCTTATAAATATTTACCGAATATATTTTGACATTCATATTGTGCTAACTTTACATTCCAAGAAGTAAATTTTGACATTTTACTTTGCTTACTTTGTTTTACTGGTATTACAATTAGCGAAAACAGTCAAAGTTAAATCATGTTTTCCTTTCTAATTTAAGCCTATGATTTTGAAATGGTAAATGACGTTTTTCATATTTTATATAAGAATTTTACGACAATAAATATTCTAGGTGCTAATGGTCCAAGGAGGACTGGAGTTATGGTAGAATTTGCTAATTTAGCGTTTCACTATCGTGCACCTGGTGATTTGACGGAAGATGAGATTGATGACGTTATCATGTCATTACATACTCGAATACAGAAGCAAGAAAAAGCAGAACTTACTAACCTCAAGTATCTGTTCGATACTTTACATAGGTAAGGAATGAAGTTTCATTTCATCCGTATAATTAAAAAATAGTTTTGTTGAATTAAAAATTCTGATTTTGTTATATATTCAATGAAATACTGTCCTGTTGTTAATAAATGACTTGCAAATTGACTGTGTTATTAAATTGTATGGGGTAGTGAAAACATAACAGAAGATATTAACCGTCTTTATCGGCAATTTGTACTTTTTCCCTTTGATCTTACTGCCTAATATTTTCAAGATCATGGACAGGACTTGATACTCGAAAATATGACGTCAAGTATCAGTGCAGCAACTACACGTGTTCATGTCTATCCGTTTCAGTTTATCAATGAAGTGCACGCGACTTCATCATACAACCGAACAACTATCACAACGTTTTGTACGCGTAGAAATAACTTTACTAAATATTTCATTTTATATCATATTCTAAAACAAAAAATACACACAGTTAAGAGAAATTACCGATAAAAAGAATAATGGCATTTTATTTTTGATACTGACTTTATTAGCTCGAATATCAGCTCGCCATAACGGGCTCTCTTGATATTCATGCTTATAAAGTCAGTATCAAAAATAAAAATGACATTATTTTATATGTATGCAACTGGTCTCACTGTTGGTTTATTAAGTTTGTACCAGAACATATGATGTATCCACTTACATTACCATATATTTTTAGTCTTAAACGGCCATTTTGATCTTGGAATCATGTTAAAACTATGAAACTTTAAATGTAAAATCTTGGTAAGAGTTAAAGTTATTATTCAGATATTTCCTTTTTTAATTTTAGCACTGTTTAGACATTTCGCTTGTAGTCCATCCAGTACTGTTCAGACATTAAAACTCTTGATTTTTACTGAAAAGAACAACTCCTAATCAGTCTTAAAATAGACTGAACAGATCCTAATAGTCTGCAAGCGATTTGTCTTAACAGTGCTGAGTTAACCACAAATGATTATAGCTTGGTTTCATCAATGTTTTAATGTGTTTTATCTTGTTTCAGTTTTTAAGTTAAATCCATTTTTCTGTGGAATCAATTGCACAGTTGCTGTCCGTATATTTTGGTTTCTTCTTAAAAAAATTTTTATGGCTAGTTAACTATATTCAACCTTGGTCGTTTAGTTTCCATCTGTGTTTTGTTTCATTAGATAAATTACTTGATGAGATTCATCAGCAATAATAAGCTATCCATTGAATATGTATATTTTGTCATTGTAACTAACCTGTAGCACGAGTTCAAGGGGTAAACGAAAATCAGGGAAAAGCAGTCGGTGTATTTGGAAGGTTAAGTTCAACACATAGATGATAATAGAGCAAATGATTGCCTCTAAAATCTTTTTTTTTCTTGCCAGTTTTTACATTGTAACCAACTGAGCAGATGTTAGATAAAGAAAGGCAACAGTAGTATACCGCTGTTCAATAGTCATAAATCGATTTAACTGAAACAAATCCGGGACACAAACCAAAACCGAGGGAAACACATCAACTATAAGAGAAAAACAACGGAACAACATAAACACTGAACTGCTACAAAAACAAACGCCAACATATATAGAAACGGACTATTTGATAACAACTGCCATATTCCTGACTTGGTACAGGACATTGTAAGAAAAAATGGTGGGTTGGACCTGGTTGTATTGCTATCCAAACCTCCCGCATATATGGCAATGTTAAAAATACCGGTAAAATGACAACATTACGTGACAGGAATACATTACAACTAAACGCAAGAACACTCAGGACAGAGACATACATAAATTAATAATATGATAGTACATTACAACATGTAAACCACAGAATAACAACGGACACCTCTCATTTACACAACAATAGAATTATGAACTGTGTGTCACATGAATGTATCAACGCTACAAAAAGTGACGTCACAGGTAAATTTCTAAAAATAGAATATAAAATTGGGATTGAGTTTGTAATGGTGTTATTTTATGTATTTTCTAACCATTACAAGAATATTAATATAGAATTGTGTTAGTTATGGTGTAATTATTTGTATTCTCTAACCATGTCGGTTTTTGTCTCGCCTTGACGGAGTCAAAAAGCGAGACATAGGTATGGTGTTTCCTGCGGCGGCGTCAACAATGTATTAGTTTGTGATAAGGTCTAGTTCATGGTGAACCACTAGTGGTAGTTCAATGATATTTGGTATGCAGTTGTATTAGCTTTGTCACATCATCTCATTTCCATGGAGATTATTTGGCTCCGCCCCCTCAGTCAAGGTATATTGACTTTGAAACTTTTCATAGTTTACATGTATTAGTTTGTGATTAGGTCAATTTATGGGGAACCACTAGTGGTAGGTCAATGATATTTGGTATGCAGTTGTATAAGCATTGGCATATCTCATTTCCATGGAGATTATTTGGCTCCGCCCCCTTAGTCTGGTCTATAGACTTTGAAAATTTTGCTAAGTTAACATGTATTAGTTTGTGATTAAGTCAGTTCAAGGGGAACCATTAGTGATAGGCCAATGTAAATTGGTGTTCAGTTGTATAAGCATAAGCACATCTCAATTCCAAGGATAATATTTGGCCCTGCCCCCTCAGTCATGGTCTATTGACTTTGAAACTTTTGCTTAGTTTACATGTATTAGTTTGTGATTAGATCAGTTTTAGATGAACTGCTAATGTTAAGTCAATGATATTTGGTATGCAAATGTATTGGCATTTGCAAGTATCGTTTCCATGGAGATTATATAGCCCCACCCCTGATCATGGTTCATTGACTTTGAAACTTTTACATAGTTTACAAGTTGATGTTTGTGTTTAGGTTTGTTTGAAGGGAACGACTTATAATAGGTCAATGGTATTTGGTATGCAGTTGTATTAGCATTGGCACATCTCATTCCATGGAGATTGTTTAGCCATGTACCTTCAGTCATGGTTCATCGACTTTGAATATTTGCATAACTTACATGTTAAAGTATTGCTATTTTAATTTCAACATTTGCATTATCAAAATTACAAAAAGGCGAGACATATCTCTGTGATAACAGTTTATTCTTCTAAATCATTAATCCTGAGCATATAGCTGCTTTAAACTAAAAATCATATAAATGAACTAGCTGATTAATTATCTTAACTTTTACATACATTTAGAAAATAAAAATAGAATTCAAACCACAAACGATAAAACATAACACATTATCGAACCAGAATTACAAACGAAACATCATAACGAAAATCATGAATGTTGGATGTATAAATACCGAGACACGTCTAATAGCAATGCGAATTCAGACTCGGGAAAACAGTCATATTCGGGAATAGGTCACGTTCGGTACTTAGCAGACCAGACGAGGTAGATGGTAACCCACAATCTAAGACGTGGTAAAAATGTCGTTAGTTAGTTTAGACACAGACACATCGTATAGATCAATCCATTCGTGATGGTGTCCGTAAAATTTAGTAAGTGTCATTTTTAATCTTTCCTCCTCATAACTCTGTTTGAGCAGTTTCTGCGTAAGGATTGAATATTATCCTCAAATAAATAAATAATAAACTGGCATTTTAACATGAAGTATAATAATTCTTATTATTTGACAGTGTTTCACACAAAAACTTCTGGATGTGCGCAGATGATCTAGACGAAAAGAAAAATGACAAACTAAAAATTATTCTAGAAGATTATTTCCAGGAGCAAACTGATTTTAAGGCAGCAGTACTAGATGCAACCGAACCAGAGGTATTTCACAACAATTAACATTTTAAAGGGTTCCCAACACTTTGACTAAAATAGATTTGGCTCGTTTAGTTTTCATAGATATTTGACAAAATATTTTCTTTGGCCTGTTGACAAAAATTAAAAATTTCAAGAAATTCGAACCACGCAATTTACAGGAATTATTTAATTGGATATGTAACAGTTTGATAAACGATCATTCTGATAATTGAGAAGCTTGATTTCTATTTTACTAATAGTACGTGATTAAAACGTTCAGCTAATTCTTAAAGAGTTAACTTCCTTAGATGCTCTGTACTCCCATAAGATCGGAGAATAAATGGCATCCTACGATCAAGACCACAGTTCAGACTTGAGAAAAAGCGTTATAACGCTTTCATTGAGCATGATACTTGATTCTTGGTCTAAATTTTATTTGAATTTCAGAACATTTGACCAAAGACTAAACAAACAGACAAATCAGTTTATACAAAAATTGTTTTAATCATACCAGTACTGAAACATTTCATTAAGGGAGAACTGAAGCTTATTCCAAAGTTTTGATGAAAATATATTTGTCATAAAAAAAAATATTTGATTTGAGCCAGACATTTTTTTTTAGAAAACATCAAAACTGTCTGAAATAAAATTCGTGAGCATACTTACATTTGTTGTGATTGAATAAGTTCATAGGTTGATTTGAAAAAAATCGGTTATCGGAAATATTACAAAGGCAACATATTAGATATGATAATTAGCAATCATCATTATTATAATAGTGTATTCATTAATTAATATAGATACTATTTATGAGATCAATGCTATTCACGCTGGAATAAATTAGTGTTATATATTTATATTGAAAACATATTGTTTGGAATATGTTTTGTGAATAATTGTTAATTGTAGAACTGATTGTTGGTTAAACATAAACTTATTTACTTTCAGCTATCATCATACGAGTTGAACCAAGTGTCATCAGATATAAAACAGTTTATTAATATGTACAGCCAGGAACACAAATTAAATGGAAGAGCTATTGCCCGTGTATTTCATGGTATAGCAAGCCCCTGTTTCCCTGCTACTACATGGGGGCGTGTCAGACGATTTTGGCGCAGTAACATTAATGTAGATTTCAATTTGTTGATCAAACTTGCAACAAAACTTTTGATTCAAATGAGATAAAAGTTGTATTTTTCGCAGTCGATGCTGTTTGTATATACAAATGTATATTATTTATGAACTCAGTTATTTCAGACGAAATGCATTGATTACATGAAGTACAGTTAATTGTCTTTGTTTTGCAATTTAATTGCATAAAGACACTGCGATATCTTCCTATATAAAAGTCATCAATATTACATTGTAATTTTTTCTCAAGTTTTTTTTTTTTGAACTGCCATTTTGTGAAAACTCACATACAATCACATAATTTGAATTATTATATAATGTATACTAATGAACATGTTTGATATATCAAGTGATCATCATGATTATTGTGACAGTTTTATATCTGCCATTACCTGTCCAAACCAACTTATCAGGTAAACCAAGTAATAATATACCAAGTGGCATTAAAAACAAACAAATGGAAGATCATACAACAGCTTGACAAGGCTCTCTACTGATGTTAGCTAAACACAAAAAAAGTAAGGTCCAAATCTTAGAAAGTTTAATATAGTTGCATCATTTAGGCAAATATAGCTACACAGAACAAAAACATGTGATTTACTAGACAAAACTTCATCCGATATACAAATTAGATAAAACGAAATACTACAATCAGAAATCGCCATATGGAGTACATGTCAGGTGTACTTTATCAATGATCATCCATTGTGATGGATGGATGTTTATCGTCCAGTAGCAAATATTAAATGCATGTCCAGTGCTAGAATATATTACTATGACATGACTGTAAGTGTTGCTCTCCACCTATTGCAACTTATTCAAAATTCTGACCAAATTGCAGTTTGTTTTATAAAACCAAACTGTTCAACTGGTCAGAAATTTGAACAAATTGCTGTAGAAAACCAGTCAAGTCGTGAAATTGCAAGGTGATAAAAAAGGCATACTTACAATCCCTTAGGACTTTAATTCCACTTTAATGATATTATGAAAAATCAGTCCAACAATTTGTATACAATTTTTCTTTGGAAAAGTCTTCTTTATTCATAACAATCAGACATCATTTGAATAAAAAAATTTTATATTCAGTAAAATATGTGTGAAATTACAATACGTTGTTAGGAAGTTTCCATGGGAGATAATCAATTTTTCTTTCGAAAAGTCTTTTATATTCAAAAGAATAATGATTTAGGTTATCTCCCATGGAAACTTATTAACAACGTATTGTAATTTCACATATATTTTACTGAATATAAGATGTTTTAATTTAAATGATGTCCGATTCATCTTATACATTCTAATGAATATAGAAGACTTTTCGAAAGAAAAATTGTATGAAAGCTTAGTTTGGACATTTTTATAGCAATTGCAAATTACTACCTATCACCTCTAGCATGACAATTACTATAAAATGTGTATACAAATTGTTGGACTGATTTTTCATAATATCATTGAAGTGGAATTAAAGTCTTATAGGATTGTAAGTATGCTTTATTTTATCACCTTGCACTTTCATGACTTGGCTGTGGTTTTCTACAGCAGTTTGTTCAAATTTCTGACCAGTTGAACAGTTTGGTTTTATAAAACAAATTGCACTTTGGTCAGAATTTTGAATAAATTGCAATAGGTGGAGAGCAACACTAACAGTCAAGTCACAGTAAGTTGATAAAATACTAGCCCAGCTTTGTAATAAATTGAAACACTGAGCAAGATATTCAACGTTTTAGCCCACAAACAGTCTGTAAGAATACATGTCACATTCTGAAAATATGTTTTGTTTTAGAGGCAACCAGTCTTTATTCTTTCTCTTAAACATATGTGCTAAGAAGGGAAAAAAACAGCAAATGATAATTTTTGACCGGAATGACCAGACTGATGATGGTACATTATTATGGCCAACCCCAATTAAAGCCAGCACACCACAATGAGACCAGCAAGCGGTTTAATCATTAGTGGACGTAAATAGAAATATTTGCCCAACGTGAATTAAATGAAAAAAATCTTGCAATGCATCAGAACCAGATATGATAGGTGTTATTGTTTTAGATATTGATTATTGTTTGACAATACGAGCGCTTGGGGCTTAATATTTTATCCAGCAAATTGATTTAAAATATTTTCATCAGAACTGCCTAGCAATTTGAATATAAATTTATATGCAGTATTCTTGTTCCAGGCTTACAAATATATGTAGATGAATATGACCAAAAGCAACACTATTGTTGTTAAGCTTCCCTTGGCCCAGTAAATTTATAACCGAACCCCATTTACTTTGGTATGTTGGTACAGCCGTCGCAAATTTTGTAGAGCGGTTTCTTTTTGTGCCAGTTGCTCCGGATTAGACTCCAGGCTGGTGAATTTGTAGCGGAAATTTATATTAAATGATCTCGTCCTTTTTCTCTTGACTCGTGAAACACGCAAGATGTTTATATAAATGGTGATACTTTAGTTAGGGTTGGATAACATCATAAAAAAAAAACAGATCTTGAGGTTGGTAGTGTGTCGGTACTTCCCTAAACATTATAGAGTTACAACCACAATATATTTACTACCGTATTCCAGTAGCTCAAATGGTAAAGCGAAGGCTTACTGATGTAGACGAAACACGCGTCTGGGGTACAAAATTATAAGCCTGTGAAGTTTTTTTTATTGTTTCAAGGGTCCCAAGTTTAATCTCCAACTGGTATAGCGATATTTTTCTATTAAATCCCAATAATATGCTGTCTCATTTGGTAGGTAAATCAATAATTGTTCCTGCAACACTTATGTAATGCGGTATATTTTGTTGTACAGCAGGTATATATACAATAGCGAAAAATGATCATTTGAACTGCAGTACTGAATAATATTAATAAAACTTTTATTCAGACGTTCGATCAAAATCCAAATAAGAAGAGATAAAAAAAGACTATACAAAATACCGAACTCCAAGGTAAATTTATTGCAAACCAAATGAAACTTTTCCACAGATTCGTCTCCTATTTGTCAATCTATTTAAATTTTTGTCAGTTCTATTGTCCCACAATAAATACAATAACTATTCTTCTGTGTAGTTTTTTCACTGGGACCTTTAAATTTCTTCTAAGAGAAATCCATCACTCATTGATTGATTTACCTGAGTAAAAAAAATATCTTAAGCTTTAGTTAAATTGATTGACCAATTGGAGATGAATATGTGGAAGAGTTTCATTTGGTTTGCAATAAATTCGCATAAAACATGACAAAACAAAATGCTCGACTGTTTCAACCAACGGACGAATGGAAAATGAATTTTTCAAATTACACTCGTTTCAAAGATGATCACAGTAATGATAAAATGAAGTAAATATATCAGCAACCGGAAATCCCGAGAACAATGCAGGATGGAAACGACTAAGAAATGGACAATAAGCATTCAAACAGTGTAACGATAAGTCAGTACACGTTCCTACAAAATCCAATACGAAGTCATGAGCCGCATGATTGTTATCAAAATCAGTTTTAGTTTGCATGTAGAAACAACTTAATAGACAAGTTGTTAATCAAATCCAATACAAGTCTTATATGTTATGTTAACAGTAATAGAGGAACTCTTTACAAATAAGTCTGGTTCTGTCAGAGTTAAAGCAACTATTTTCAGCAACATTTAATTATCGTATATCAAGAAAAAAATCAGTTTAAGATGTTTGTTATTGTTGTAATTAGAAAGAATGCAATTTCAAATCTCTCTTTAAATTTCCAATTGTGCGCCATGGTTATATACAAATGAAATCTTTAATGGTATTGACAAGGCAGAAAATTACCTTTTCGTGAAATAACACTTCAAAATAGTAATGAATGCGATGATCCGAATAGATTTCCTTCTGATTTTATTGCCAGCTTATCATGATAAACTTTACAACTTTGAGCAGAAATTGATTACATTTACCATATACTGTTTTTGTAGGTTTTGTCCTGTAGAAATGAGAATGAGAAGTGTTTGTTTTCTATGAACTTACCTTAATATATTGTGTCTCTCTTACGTTAACATAACCGAAACTCATCACGCTCGACTCAAAATAGTGAACAGGCGAAATCAAGTAAGAATGTGCGACACTATTGCTAATTACTATTAATGATTTTGTTTACACCTTTGATTTTATAAACGCATTCTCTTATAACAAATACAGAAAAAAGAACATTACAAGAGTCAATTCTAGTCATGAATTTTCGAAATGTCGCTCTTTCGTGTACTGTCGCCTAACTTTTCAAATAACTTTAAAAATTTGTCGAATCAACATAAAGTTTCATCGGAAGAATATGGAATTACAAATGGACTAAACCTCAAAAGCATTGAATGGTCCTCTACAACGAAAATAAATGCCAATGTAAACTGGCTATAGTTTGTGTCGCCTTTTTGTCGCAGGAAGCGAGACATATACATAAGGATGTTAGTACGGTGAATCAAATAGTTATGTGATTAAAGTTTAGTTAGAAGACCTGGATGCTTCATACCTTACATATATATGCCTTTTGTTACGAAATTTCCGTCAGTCATATGTCCAATGTCCATGATCTCATTTTCATGGTTCAGGTCGCTGTTTAAAAGAATATAGTTTTTTTTTAATGTGAATTTCTTACAGGTCCGCCAGAAAGAGTTAACCTGGCTTTGACCTCATTTCATGGATAAGTGATCAAGGTTAAAGTTACACGATTAGGTCCGCTTCGCAGATACTATAAGCAGAAGGTCAACTGTACTTAAAATATGGATTGATTGTTAAGTGAAAATGTCCGTCTGTCAGGTATCGTTTGCCTTGACCTCATTTTCATAGTTCATTGGTCAATGATTCGCCATTGTTTTGGTCTGTTCCTAAGATACTATAACCAATAGTTCAACTATATTTGCCTTGATTCATTTCACCTTGACTTGATTTACATTGATCAGAGATTGTTAGATTTATGTGATGCTTATAGTAAAATGAAGAGAAAGAGAGATCAAAAATGATCAGTATAGCGGGCAGGACATTTCAGGGTATTCACTCTTACTGTAAGAAGTTACCATTGTATTTATGTTTTGTAGAAAATGATTTATAATTCTAAAGGAGCAAGTTGGTAGGTAAAATTCGTTTGCACTGTTTTCAATATGCCAACAGAAAATTGGTTAACCGGATAGCAATCGGGAATGACTATCCTCGGGATATTATTGATAAAATTTTGATATTTCAAAATGATCGGCCTACAGTTGAATGTCTCATACAATGATTCATACTTAGATGAAAATTGATTGGTACAATGTATCAGTATATTAGGAATTAGAGGCAACAAATTCTGCTTAAAGGGGCATTAGCTGCCAAATTTATGCCCACCGAATTTATTCAAATTCAAATTTTACATAATATATACTCAG